ATTAGTGTTGCAGATTTTTGAGGAGAAAATTGCAGCCTAGCCCACTCTGGCTACATGGGCCATGGATTTATTTCCTCACTACTCCATTCCATCCTTCTCTTTGCTTTCTTCTTTAGCCTCTATTTAAGCAATCTCATCCCTGTAAAATTCCAAGATGATATCCTGGAAATCATATTTAAAATTCATCGAAGGAACAGTTGGCAAAGGAGAAGAGCTTGGGTAGGAAGAATATAGGTGACAATCTTCCCAGATAGGATTGGCTACAGGAAGGTTTTCCTGGTCCTTGCTGACTGGCATATGGGTTTTCCACGTTTGTGTATGTATGTGTTGGAGTGGGATTTGGGGGGCGGTGCCTGGGCACAGAGTTGACTTAGAAAACCTTCTCTTAAGATTTTCTTAGTAATCCCAGCCTCTCAAATCTCCTCTTGGTCATTTCTGGAAAAGTCATGGTAGAAATCTCTACTGGGCCAGCCAAGTAAAAATCACCATAGGGACACAGTCGATCTTCATTTGGACTCTACCAGGAAGTAACTGTAGAATCATTAGCTCCCCCCTCTGCACTTGTGGAGGTAACAGGACTAGCCAGCCTCTGCCTCTGACCACCACAGCCCCAGACACACCATGGCGATTTTGTTGACTGTCCACGGGCACACCGGTGAAACTGCTTGGAGGAATTACTGTTGTTGTGCCTGAATACCTAGCAGAGCAGAATGGAGTTTCAGCTGTTGTGGCTCAGGTCACTTCTTGGATGTTTTCAGACCCCGATTCTGTAGTTCCTGGCTCTCCTGCTTCGTAGGAGACAATTCTCCACTGGAGACATGTTCACCCCAGACGCTTGGTAGATTCTCTGATGGCTCCTTTACCTCTGAAGGACATGGGATGTAAGTCTTTGAATGTCAAATCATCTTTGCCTTTCTCAGGTGGAAGGCCCAGGGCCTACTAGAGCTGCAGGGGAAGTAAGCGGGTCCAGAAGGCACAATGGTAGCAGGTTTTGTGACCACTCTAGGTAGCCCCACAGCAAGTCTGTCCTCCAATTGACCCTATAATGTGATCTCAGTGAGGCACATTCCTTCTTACTTCCCACAACCCTTCGCCCTTTCCCCTGAGACTTGTTTCTTTTTTTTTAATGTTTTATTTATTTCTGAGAGAGAGAGAGAGAGAGAGAGAGAAAGACAGCGTGAGCAGGGGAGGGTCAAAGAGAGAGGGAGACACAGAATCTGAAACAGGCTGTCAGCACAGAGCCCGACAGGGGGCTTGACAGGGGGCTTGAACCCATGAACTGTGAGATCATAACCAGCGTCGAAGTCGGAACTTAACCGACTGAGCCACCCACTCAACAGCGAGACTTGTCTCTGAGAGCTTAATTTTTGGTACCTGGCTCTTGGGAATGTGAAAAATCATGTCTTATAGCCCTCGACCTGTCTTTTAGAACAGAAAGATAATCTGGATCAAAAGTAGAGATTTCTTTTCTTTCCTTTTTTTCCTTTTTTAATTTGAGAGAGAGAGAGAGAGAGCATAAGCAAGTGGGATAGGGACAGAGAGAGGAAAAGAGAGAATCCCAAGCAGTCTTCACAGTCAGCATGGATGGAGTCCGACTCGGGCCTGATCCCATAACCCTGAGATCATGACCTGAGCCAAAATCAAGAGCCAAACACTCACCTGACTGAGCCACCCAGGTGCCCTGACATTTATTTTCTTAGGAGTACAGTATTTATTGTGGTACCTGGCTGGCTCTGTCAGTAAGCCACGCAATTCTTGATCTCTGAGTTGTGAGATTGAGCCCCATGTTGGGTGCAGAGGTTACTTAAAATTTAGAAAAAAAAAGAGTATAGTATTTACTAAAAGAAAGAGAATAAATGTGTCATCTGTCTTTATCTCCAGGTATGTGAAGATTGTATTGTAATCAACAAGGAGCATAGCCTCAGTGAGTGAAACAACATTTTCTCCCCTGGTAGATTATTCTGTTTCTGGAAATCAGTGGGAGCATTACACTAACAGGGCCTCGGTCTGGATTCTATAATACTTGGACTGGTTTACTCAGTTGAATCCTTCAGTGGTACAATTAAGTCTTCCCCACAGACCCACTCGCCACCAACATTCCTGCTCATAAAGCTGATGCTGCTTTGTCCGAGGTACAGCAGATTTGCTTTCATTTTCATTTGAGTTTGAAGTAGGAGGTTGCAAGGGTGTGAGGTCTGGACTCTAAGAGTAGGTATAAGTTATAATTATATTTCTTCATGTTATGCCTTTGATTATGCCTTGATTTGATGGATTGCACACCCCCTACTGAGCACGCCAGGATCCTTTTCACAAAACTAAATACACATATTTTCATTAACCTTCCCAGTCACTTCCCAGAAATACCTTTTGGAAGTCTCAGCATTCCATGACAGCCTCTCTTGCTAAAATCTTACCCCAAAGCCACAAAATTACTATTAAGAAATAGTTTCTAGAAACCTTGCGACACTTCTCTTCCAACACAGAATCTTTGGGTCCACTGATATGGCCATGTTGATCAAGATGATCATTTACTTTATTCAGATACCAGGATGGACTGATGATCACCTCTCTGGAGTAATTTTTCCTTTGACCGAATAGATGAATACAGAACCAGAAATTTATTGGAGCTTCTATAAGCGATGACCTCAGGGTCATGGTATCTGGGTCCAGCAACCACTTCCTTGTTACACGACCACAGATAAAATCAGTTCCTGTCTACGTTTTCCTGACTATAAAATATAAGTAGACAATTCCACTTGCACCCAAATATGGCCAATCAATATTGAGAACTGGTAGGCTGGTGTAACTGTTTTTAAGAAACACTCAATAATGTGAATAATGCTTATTATTTTTAGCATTCATTTGCCTTGAGTTGGTAGGCATGGAAAATTTTGTTTCAGGGGCTGAAAGTGAAGGAAGAACATGGAGAGGGGTTGGACATTTTTCTGAGTTTTTCAATGCCCTCGATCCGGAGAGAGCATGGGGAGACTGTGGTCCCACAGAGGAGGGCCTCTTATCTGTTCCTCACCGTATTCCTAGGCCACGGTTGGGTTCCCCGAGGCGTGTGATCAGAAGAGCAAGTTAAAGAGCTGCAGAAAATAATAAATCAACATTGTCTTCAATATTTTAAACGACTAATACCAAGTGTTGTCTAGGGAGTGGAGCTACTGGAATCCTCATACACGGCTCTTGGGAATGCAAAATGATAGACTCACCTTGAAAAACAGTTTGGCAGTTTCTGATACATGTACATATAATGCAATCCTTTTCCTTGATGTTACGTTTCTGATACATGTACATATAATGCAATCCTTTTCCTTGATGTTTACCCAAAGGAAATGAAAACATATATCTGCACAAAGGCTTGTGACAATTTCCAATGTAAGAAGGGTATCTTATTAATATGTGTTTTGCTGTTTTTTAAATGCTAGAATTTTTCTGTAAGTAATTTTAATATTTTGAGTAACTCTGAATTCTTTACGGTTTTTTTTCTCCCTTTCACATCTTCTTTGAAACTTAGAATATATAAGATGGAACTCTTCGATCAGTGTTATTGTGGACTATTAAAAAGTATTATAATTCTTGATGAATTAGAAAAGAGACTTCAGACTCCAAATTGATACATGGTATTGCTAGGTAACACACCCTCCCACCAGTACCCTGAGAAAGTTCTAGGCTTTTAGATAATGTGAGTGTGTTGTCATCTCTGAAACCTCTCAAGTCTTAATAGGTCAATTATGATTCTCACTTTCTTTGATTTTTCTTTCAGATTACATTTACGTGTAGGCTGTCTTTACACGTCTAAATATTTAACCACATCAATAGAGTCTTTTTTTTTTTTTCTGGAATGTTGGATTCTCTGTAGCTACCCATCTTGACCCCTGACATCTTTATATGCAGAGAACACTGGTCAAATCAGCAATCATTACTCTTTGGCTTAAGAAGAGGTCAGACAGGACAATGAGCTGAAAGTCAAGGTAACAAAAGAACTGAAGGCTGTAGTAGGTCCTCTTCACAAGTGAGTGAACTTGATTCTTGCTTATTAGGATGTGAGGAATCTGGGGCTATTTCAGGAATGTCAGCAATTTTGCCCTAAAGCAACTTTGATCTTGTTCTCCTCCCCAAGGTTGGTCATCAAGTGGAAACATGGAGACCAGGGCTGCCTGTTAACAGAGAGCCACTACTCACTGCTTACATACGTCTCCTTCTATTGTTCTCTTTCCCTGGAAGAAAAAACACCCACCTCCCAAACCCCCTCAGAAATGCTCCAAGACTGTTTACTCCAGCTGATGCCCTCACTAAGAGGAATGCCTTAGAAACGAGTTAAAAAAAAAAACAAAAAAAACCCAGGAGGAAAAGGAGGGTCTCCAGCCACAACCTCCTCAAGTAATCATTCCCTTCTGTTTCCCCAGTTCATGTTCAAATCCCAACAGAGGTGGAGTTTCCTGGGGCTTCAAGGAAATTTCCTAAAAAGGGAAAAGGGGGAAATTATGTATAATTTCTATTGTAACTAGTCACAAAAGAGTAGTTCTGTTTCCCACCCTTTCTTTGCTTTTAAGCTTTTAACTTTTAATAGTGGCAGTTAGTATGAATTAGCCACAACAATGACAGTTTATGCCTCATTCTTCTGGAAACAACTAGTTTATGAATGGTCAGGCCTACTTTACCTCCTAGGGAAGTCTGTGGGAGTTCTCTGGGTGAAGAAATCCTCCCAAATTCTCATGTTTCTACATAAGCAAGGATCAAAGCAAGAATCCCATTGTCTCTGTTTTAATTCTGTTTCTCAAACTATAAGCTGAGCAGGGTCCTCTTTTGTTCACATTCTCTCCCCATATGTCTGATGTTAAGGATTGGTCATCTACAAGGTTTAGAGATTTGCGTGTATTTTATTGTGTTTTCCAAAATTAAGAGGCCGAATTCCCCAAGAGCAATTACTAAGACTTGTTTAAGAGTCCCTCACCTTACGAAAAGAAATCGCCAGCACACTTGTTCAAACAAAATGTGTGCCAGTTTTCTTTACTTTACAATCTTATACAAATGTTTTACTCACACCAGGGGATTCTGAACATGTTTATGAACATTTTCCAAATGTCTTGAAGTTCAGAGTTGGGAGCCCAATAATGGTCAGTTGATGAGTTGTGGGGAGCCATTGTAGGGCATGAGAGAGAGCACTATGCCAGCTTCCTTCCTCTCTGCCACTCACCAGGTCTCTGTCTCTGCACGGTTCTCTGTTCCCTTTAGGAAGTGCTCCCAGGGCAATGTTGTCATCAGGGAAGTACCTTGAGAAGAAAGGAAACAGGGAGGGTGCTGAGCAAGATTTACTTATCTTTTGATGATTTAAAACATGTAATAGAATTCTGCAGCATTTTAGGCCCACTTCGTTGAAACTCAGAATCCCAGTTCTTAGGACAGATTGCGGAAGCACTCAGCATTACCTAGAAGTTAATTCATACACACATTGATAGAACTCAGCGTGGCATTCAGAATTGCAGCAGGCCCCCTGACAAATGATAAAGTGTGCTTACAAAACAAATACGTGTGGCAGTAATTACTCAATTTACAAAGCATTCATCTTTAGAATTCCTTTACGTGGCATTTAAAAGAGAAAGTAATTTATGTAAGTTCAAATTACGCCCATAGTTTTATGAACATACTTAGGATGCACACACTCTCCAGTTCCCTCCCTCCAATATAACCACACTCATACAGAGACACATATATGCATTATACTTAAACTTCCCTTCTAAGCAAGTAGAGTCATACAAATAAAATAAAGAAGGACCTTATTGCTCTTCTGTGATCATTCTGTCTCCCTTCTAGAACCAAAATATCACATACAAAGTCTTTGAGATCACCTAGTCCAATCTTCATTTGATAGACGAGAAACCAAGACCCATCGAAGTTAAGGGATTTGGCCAGAAGTCACAGAGTTCATCGACAGCAGCGCTGAGACTAGAACCCACACTATGAGCCCCACGTCAACAGCCTGTGCTCTTTCCACTAAGTTCTGTTCCCACACCAAGGCAGATACGTGCTTCTTCATTCAGAGACCTACAGAGAAGACAACTTTACACCCTGTCCAAGAAACTCGTTTTCCAGTTTGACTTGTGCCCACTCTCACTGAAGCCTTCCCCTGACCTAATCTAATCAGAATCGTCCATGTCATAAGAAAAAAGGTTGTGTCCTGATGGAGATGGGTTAAGGTGGTCACCATTTAGTGCAACACGCCCCTTCTACATAAAATGGTTAAAAACTAACCCTCTAGGTTGGTGTATGTGTGTGTTTTAAACAAGGCTGAATATTCTAAATTCCTTCAGCTTTGTCTCAAAACCCTATGTTTTATTTTTTTAATTGTCTTCATAGATTCCTCAGAACCCGTCCTACATTCTTAACATCCCTCTTGACTGGTGCAGTTTAGACTGAGATACAGGATTGTAAACAGGCCCTGCTTGGTGCTGACCTTTGGCGAAAGGTAGCACAGACTTAACGACAACTTCAGCTGTTTCATTTTACAAAATTTTAGTACTTTCCTTTGATTAGAAGAAAATTCCCACAAGATTAAATTATTTCTTCTTGGCAAATATGCTGAAGCAGTCATTTATTTGGAGGCTGTGAGCAAAAGCATGCCATTTTCATCATTATGACTATTGTTGCAACAAACTTTATTTTTAAACTACTTAATATATGGCTTCTTAGAGGCCCGATTTGTCTGTTCTTTGAGGTGGAAATATTTGTCACAATCTTGTTCTGCTGCCCAATAAATCAAAATGTTGAGCCTCTTGTAATAAAAATAGTTGCTTTGAAGTATAACCTTAAATGTCTAATTTCCTACCAGTAATAATGAGGCTTTATCCAGCCATTTTGGGGGACTGGGTTTTCTTTTTCCCTTCCCCCCCTCCCCTTTTGTTTTTCTAACATGTGGGCTGTCTAATGACAGGATTTTGTATTCCAGATGTTTTGGCGAGAGAAGCAGTAAGTGACGGGTACACATCTCAGACTTTCATACCACCCAAGTGGCTATTACGTCACTGGCCAGCATGAGCCTATCCAGACCATCTCTACCAGAGCCCCCCCCCCCTTTTATTTCATGTTGCTAACCCTTTAGTTATCAACAAAAAATAACAGAAATTCTTTTATGCAGCCATTATTACACAGACATCCAAAGAAGGGTCAAAGAATCTAAAACCACACAGAAGTTTAAACCCATGTGGTTTTAATAAGAAAAAAAAGGAAAGAGATGGTTTAATTAAGTAATAAGACTAGACTCCCTGGTGGTTAATAAGGTAATTTGCCACATGATTAAAGGTATATGCAAGTGGAATTTCTATGGTAACACTCTCACTCAAATGGATGCTTTTTGGAGACTGGGACTCTTAGTCTCTTGAATACGATGAGTCTTTTGAAGCAAGACAAAAGCAACAACAAAGAGTCACTTTTGAAATTCTTTCACCATTGTCCCAATTTTTTCAAAAAGACAGAAGCAACAGAGGACCCCATGGGACACCCCAATTCAGCAGCAGAGCCGGGTGCCCGCCTCTGTGTTCTCAGCACCAAGACCACGGAGGCACCGTGAGGTTCTCACGGGAACACAGACAAGGTCCTGCTCTGACCATTCCCTGGAAGACATGAGCAGATGCTGAGGGTCTGATAACCTGAGGTCTCCAGGACACTACTAGCTCGGCTTAAAAAAAGGCTTCCATTTATTTATTTACCATCTACCTTCCTGCTTCTGTATCTCTACTCTCCACATCACATCGGCCTGTCTCCATGGCTTCTTGAAGTCTGTTCCCTCCCTGGGGAATCACTTCTTAGCTTTGCTATAGATTCAGGCAATGTGGTTGATGCGGACCACCTGGAAGGCTGAACCTTGAAGGCTGTTCAGCTGCCGGCCATGGTGGGAACACTGCCCTCTCGCAGGTGCCTGCGTACTGAGAAGCTAAACTGTCCTTCCTGGATCCAGGCTCCTCAATGCTGCGATCCGTGTGATCCCCAAAGGAACTTGCTGCTCTGTATTGAATGAAGGCGCCATAATTCAAAATGCTCTCCAAATCCCAAGGTGCTGCATACACCTGTCAGATTACTGTCATTATCTTCTCTCTGCAGCACCTTCCAAGGGTCCCCAGGAGGCTTCTTGTCTTGGGGAAAGAAGGCCCCTGCCAGGTCTAATAGTCTATAATTCTTGATTCATTCATGTACTCATTCGCTTTTTTGACAAATATGTATTGAATCGAAGCTGCTACAGTGACTAGGAACGCAAAGCCCCTGCCCTCAGGTAGCTTACTTTCTAGGAGAATGACAGACAAGAAACAAGAAACCAATTAGAATCATGAGAAAGCCTAATAAATGTTTAGAGAAAATTAATAAGCTTGTGTAATAGACAGTCAATGAAATGGCAGCTGCTTTAGGCAGGGGGTCACAGAGGGCCACCCAGCTGTGGAGCATTCCAGCTGTGGTGCATGGTCTAAGAAAGAGTCAGCTGCACAAAGAGCTATGGGAAGCCTTCCAGGGAAGGGGTGAGGCCTTCCAGTGTGAAACAGCTTGGACGGTGGAGGAACTGAGAAGCAGCCAGTGTACCTAAGACCAAGTGAATGGCTGAGATAAAGTCAGAGAAATAGGCAGGAGCCAGGTCACACGGGACCCTGGAATCCGGGGTAATAAGTGCAAACTTTATGCCGAGTATGAGGGGAGCTAGTTGAGGTGCTGAGCAGCGGTGTGGCATGACCTGATGTACACAGACTATCACTCAGACTGATGTGCGGAGAATGGAGAAAGCGTGCAAGATGGAAGAAAGAGACCCGTAAGAGAATACTGAAGTACTTCAAACGCGGGCAGTGAAGGTGACTTGGATGCAGAAGATGGTAATGGATAAAGGAGTGGGGAAATGTGGATAGTCTGGAGGTCGACCCGAGAGGGATCACAGAGCGTCCAAGTGTACATGCTGCACACATTATCCACACAGATTAGATGATGGGCACAGTGGAAGAGAAAGGAGAAGAGGACATTCCAATAGGCTCTCTATCTTGTAACCTGTTCTCTAGGAAAACTGTGTCTGTGGGCCTCCCTGTCTTTTGATGTACAGGGAGAGGAGACATCTCTAAAGAAACCATGTCCTGACCACATATGGCTGGGTACATGAAAATCAATGTATTGATTCTCTTGAAAGGGCACAGGAAACCAACATGTGTTTTAGGCACAAAATCGTCTTGTCTCGGGCTGACCCACAGACACCTCAGTTTAATTAGTGTAGTCTGTACCCAGCGGGAACTGAATTCGGATATCTTAAAAGCACTTGGACTTTTCCTAGACACCCTAAAGTCAAATAGTTACAACAGAAGAAACATGAGAACTGTAGTCTTCTACTCATTCTCTCTCTCACTCAACTTTTTATTTTTGAAATAATCGCAGACTTACAGGAAATTGCAAAGATGTGACAGAGAGTTCGCATATACCCTTAACCTAATTACCTCAATGGTTACATCTTGTATAACTCTCATACAATATTGAAACCAGGAAGTCGACATTGACACACTGTATTTGTATAGTTCTATTCCATTTTATCACATGTATACATTTATGTAAGCACCAGCGCAATCAAGATACAGATTGCCACAAGGGCGCCTGGGTGGCTTAGTCGGTTTAGCGCCCGACTTTCGCTTAGGTCATGATCTTGCGGTTCATGGGTTCGAGCCCCGTGTCGGGCTCTGTGCTGACTGCCAGCTCAGAGCCTGGAACCTATTTCAGGGTCTGTATCTCCCTCTCTCTCTGACCCTCCCCTGATCACGCTGTCTCTCTCTCTCTCTCTCTCTTTCTCCTAGAAATAAATAAATAAAAATATTAAAAAAAAAAAAAGATACAGATTGCCACAAAGATCTCCTGGGAACAGTATCTTACCAGTTTGAGTGACATGTAGAAATCTTACCTCCTTTTACGATCCCTTGTTCCTCCTGCCACTGCCATGATTTACAAAATAATTGTCTCAAATATTTCATCTGCATACATTGAAATCCACATCAGACAATGGTATGCTTTTTGCTTTGACTGACAAATCTCATTTAGAAAACTTAAGAGAAGGAAAGTCCATTTTATTTATTCATATTTTTACTCTTTCTATGTTTCTCTCTTCCTTCCAGATGCTCCAAGATCCATTCCTTTTTGTGTCAAGAACTTCCTTTAGCCATGCGTTCATAGCAGGTCTGCTAGTAACATTCTTTTGGTTTTCCTTCAACCAAGAATGTCTTGACTTTTCTCTTCCTGAAGGATAAATTCATAGGATATAGAA